GTGCCACTTTTCCACATTTTCATCTCTGTTTTCCTTTTACTGCCCAACTATTCAGCCTCTGAAAGGCCAAGGAGAGAAATCAAGTCGGCTTTAACACTCTTAAGCTGTGATTTTCACAGCTTTCTATCAAACATTAAAGGCAATCTTGAGGTTTGATTCTTCTAGAGTAAAATAGCCATTTTCTAGTTGCTCATCAAGGCCTGAATTGTCCCATATTTACGAAAAAAACCTTCCCTCCCCCCCCACCCCCCATGTCTCAATTAAGGGGATGGCTTCTTTTCCAATCCTCTTTCCATTTAGAAAATCACTTCCTAGCAGAGAAGGTTTTAGGCAAAAGACTGGTGGACTACTATGGAGATGGAATACAACACTGACCAACAATCCACATGCAACCCAACAACACACAGACTTTTGTTGAAAAAACAAGTTCTACCTCGTGTTTTTGCACGTGGAGTTGGATTTTTTTTTTTTTTTTCATTTTATAGAGGTGACTCTTGTGTACCAAGGCAGGTATTCCCAACAAACAATAGCAATGGATACCATGACAAAAATATGGTGCTAAAGCAAAACTGGTAAATCCAAGGTAAACACCCATTACATAGCTCACAGAAAAGAGGAAAAAGGGATTAATCAGTGCAGGTACCTTCAAGAAAACTTCTTCTCAACAATCTTCCTGTATTAAAAAGAAAGCAACTATACTTGCAAGTCACTTGCAGAAAATTTTAATAGTTTGCCAAATATACAGCTATTAGGATTACCCTAAATATCACTTATAATTAAGTTACAAAAGTTGGTAGATAGCATAGTACAATGTTCTATAAAATAAACACATGTAATATTAACAATACCCCCTGCAGTCCAATAATGGCAAAAAATAGCAAATGAAATTACAAACACATACAAATTAGAAGAAACTGAATTACGGCTTTAGACACTTGAGTCAAAAACTTGAGACTAGACTAGATACATTCATCCATCAAGCATAATTAATGTAGAATTTTAGATTTTAAAAACAATTAACAACGCTACATCAGGTGCAATTTCACATGCTTTCATTTATCTTCCAGTACAGTTCCCAGAGTATTAAAGTGCCTTTGTGCACTCTAGTTTAATTTATAGTCAGGTGCAATACACATCATATTTGGAAGTTACTTCATAGGTCAGGTTTTTTTTAAAAAATATGGTAACTACTTGAACCAATGCACACTATTCAAACTAAGGTGTTTTTAAAGTACCTTTGTTCTGACTATTTGCTGTTGAGTATCATATAACAAATTAAACAAGTCCACGGGGCCCATCTCCACTAAACAAGACTACAGTGAAAGCTATTTCCTTCTCTGCAGTGTTCATTTACAGAGTGCCATGAACACGGAAAACAGGCAGTATTTGGCCTGTGGCTGCGGAGGGGAATGCCCGTCACAGCAACATCCTACAGCTCGATGAATATGCACAGCATATTCTCCCTGCAAGGTACTTGAAGACTTGTAGCCTTCGGATCTTATCTGTAGCCATTACCTGCACTGCAGAACTCACCAGGTGTCCCACTCAGGGCTCCTTATCAACTTTTACCTCTTCCCACTATGCTACCTTCTGAAACCCAAAGCTCAGTATTAGTTGCAGTAAAAAAGGAAAAAAAAGGAAAACCTGATGCGGTTTGGGTGTCACTCACCTTACCCCCACCACAATGTCCTCTTCAAAACACAGAAAAAAAGTTTCATAAAACCTACTATCCAGTCTCCCACCAAAGCATATTCTCCACTAACATTCCACTCTTACTCTTCCATGTGAAAGAGCACAAAAGGGAAATTGCATTTCCCACAGCATTTGAGGCATTTTGACGGTGTTTTTCAATAGCTGCACTTTAAGAGCAGTTATGGGGCAAGTTTTTTAGGAAATAAAAATTTCATTTTAAAATCATTCCACAATGATGCTACAGAAGGTTACCAGTGGCAAGGGTTGAAGAAGGCACTCAGGAGGAAAGCTTACTTGGAGAAAAAATAAATAAAAATAGGAGGGAGGATGAACAACTAATTGCAACTTTGAACAGCAGATGTGGATGTGAGTCTCTGCCCTTCCACTGTCTTCCTATACTTGATAGTATTTCACATCACGAAGTGAGAAAACAATGACTAACCTGCAAACACCCCTGCCTGACACGGCCAGCGCAGGTGATGCCTGTGCCCCTTCGCCTCTGCTGCTGCTGCTGTTACATGGGAAAAGGCCCATTTTAAACACCACGCAATCCAGGCTCAGATCAGCAGGAGCTCTCTGAGGTGAGGAAGTTTTACTGGGGCTCTAGATGTATAATCCACTAACATTACTTAAAACATCACGTGCACTGAAGTATTTCAAGAAAGTACACACTCTGTTAATCAAACTAAAGGGAATTTGCGATTTCCTATCTATTGAGTACTTTAAAACTTCTCCATTAAACTGTAGGGTTATGGACAAGAATGGTCTGGCTATGCATTATAGCCGAAAAAAATGGAAAAAAATACAAGTTTCACGTGAATCACAACTATAAGTAGAGTCTCTGGTTCATAAAATGATTTGGTTAAAATATTTTAAACATCTCATAATGGTATAATAATTTTCAGTGTAATTTATGCAACAAATTCCACCGATATCCAAAAATACTTTATAAAACTTTATACAATTTGAAGTCTCATTAGGTAAGCCTATACACAATTCTCACAATCACCTAGGTAAAAAGTCTTCAGAAAAATCAGTTCGCAGAGAGTACATGAATGACAATGCTTCCATGACTCTTCCCTTTTGACAAGTGATTCTGCTAAATCAAATTCTTATTGCTTAAAATCAAAACAGACAGGCTTCATCAGTGACAGATACACCACACCAGTCTGGGGAAGGGACCTGCTTTCAGTTTTACAGGACAGAAATACCTAGAAGCCTTGTTACCATTTCCATAAAGATTTCCACGTAACTGCCGCCTGTCCTGTACGCTTTGTACAGAGAGCAAAAGCAGCATCACTGCGAGAGAGGGAGATCGGCGGCAGTGCACACCTTTAGTGACCAGTGTCTCCTTCTTCAATTTCTAATTAATTCTGTAACCTGTTTAATGATTTCTGTGACTACATCTCCAACTATAACTGCAAACAATCTGATCAGGTACAAGACACTAGAAACACCAAATCTCAAGTGTGCAAGAACAATGTGAATATAACGCCTCTGCAGGCTCAAATTCACAGCTGGTACTATGCCCAAACACCTCTACAGCAAGCTTTATTTACACAGCTTCCAATTAAAAATACTGTTATCTCTCAAGCTACATTTTAAATTAACAGAAATGCATCCATAATAACTACTGGTAAAAAAACATGATAAAGTTATTTTATTTTCTTTTTATTTTCAAAATATTCTGACAGTTTAACAATATTCCAGGTGCATTACAAACACTGCCATAGTCAACACAACAATCAATACTTAAGAGCATTCAAACACTGAAGACGTGTATCTTAAAGCAGACAGGAGAATGCACTTATACTAAGAGCATACAGATCATTTTCCAATAACTGACTCTGAGGCAGATGTCTGATTTCTCCAGCACAACCTGGATTAAAATCCAGAAGAGATGAATTACAGAGGATAAAATTTCAGATGTATTTTCTATAAAACATTGTGAATTTAGCATACAAGGCCACTAGCAGCTTAGTCTACTCTAGTGTTGACTATTTATGGGATAGAACAACAAAATCCTAACAGAGAAACCAGCGTCAAAGCAAACAAAACCACAAACACTTCCTAGAATATGGCTTAAATTAGTTCACAGAGTTGGGAATATATTAACTATACGGTGCAATGTAAATGTCAGGTAGGAAAATATACTTCATCTTCCTGTTATCTTCCCCTCAGCCTTCACCATAATTTGTATACAATATTCAACAAAATTATACTGCCCCTCCTGCAGGCATCTTTTTCTCACGCTTCAAAAACATTATATTACTGACGGATTGGTTTCATTCCTGAATGTATTGGCCAATATTAGCTCTACGGTTTAGACAACGTAGTTCTACACATTACATATACCCTGTTTCTTCCAATTAACCCAGGTTCTCAAAGAGCTAAAATTTCAGCTTTATTTAAAACAGCATATTTGTTTGAAAAAGTATTTCTCTCTTTCTGATATAGAAAAAATGTCAAATCAAGAACTTGCAAAGATGTGTACACAAATGAGTGCATAGTGCAGAAGATCATACAGAGAGAGGAGCAAGGCCACGGTGTCATGTTAAGTCCACATGTAAAAGATGTATGTTCCCAATGACCAAATCCATTCTAAAAAGTTTTACTTCTGCGACTTGCTTAAACCCTTAAAATCTTGCGCTATGGATGGCAAGACTCCTCTGTCCCAACTTTTCATGTAGCTGACTACATAGGCATGGTAGGACAGCCACGTACACAGCATACAGAAGAGACACCAAAAATGCTTTGGGTACATCATCCTGATCTCAAATATTCCATATGAAAGCTTGCATTTTTCCTGTGAAAAGGAAGGAAGTGGGACAACTTTCAAATTACACTGCTTGCCTGCATGGCATTTAAAAAAAAACAAAACAAAACAAAAAACCACCTCAAAAACCAGAGCCAGCTTTAGCCCAGGGTGAGTGCCACAACTCTACTGCAACAAACAGGGGTACGTCTGGTTGCTCCAGGGCTGAACTCAGTCTTCCCAGTAAAGGGTCCTTCACCTGTATTGCTTGTCGCTTCCAGTGGCTGCTCCCCAGCAGTGGAAATGTGGAACACTTGTTGCAAAAATACAAGTGGCAAATGGCTAGAGGAAATCTCTGTATGCTTACTCAAAATGCTTTGCTTCCCCATTCAATTAGTTTGCTTTTAAAAGCAATGTTTTTGGAGAAGGGCCATTAGAACAAAGGAGCGAGGCATTTCCCTTAGTCACAACATCAGACACTCCATTAACAGATTGACTTAATCTCCTAAACCAAATTAGTTCCTGGAACATCTCCCGTTTGCATTCCTTTACTCTTTCTTAGGAACAAACTGTTTCTCTAGGAGTTGTGCAGTTTAAGCCCGTTACGATATTTTACTCCAGCATTTTCTTAGCACCTCAACCCAAATTACGTTGTAGCTTGTCTGCGCTGAACATCGGCTACGGACAACCACCAAGAGGGGAAGTGCCCACAGCAGGGTTGAAAGAACAGCAATATCATCCCGTGACATCGAAAAGCACTTTTTTGATACACTGGCTTCCAGGTTAGACTACCGACTCAAAATGGGATTTCTCTCCAAGTAGGGTTAACTCCAGTTTTTCAAATACAGTAAACACAAGAGGGCAGTACTGAGGACATCAATCCTGCACGTTAGCATTTTCAGTCCATTTTCTAAAAACCTGTTAATGGAGATACGGCTCAGTGTCAAGGCTAAGTGGGCAAATGTTGTCTACGCTAAAGTCCTTATGGGAACTAATATAACCCTTGCTTATTGTACAGCTGTAGTCCTTGGATTAAAGCCAACCATATACATTTCATTCTACTAATTTACCTAGCTTGCTTAATCTCCAGTATCCTCATCCTTTCACACTCCCTAATTAACTATCAATTATTTTCCTGAGTGAGATTATAAAAAGTTAAACCCTTCTACCAAAAGTACAAAGACAAATAAAATATAGAACAATACAAACCCAGTTATACAGCATTACAAGTGCAGAAATTCTTCATGTTGTTGCTCTTCTTTATCATTGGCCCCCAGTAAAAACCATAGCAAAGAATTTAGTTATCCAAAATATTTTGAAGTACTGTGATTAAATTCTTCAGACCATAAATGTAGCCCTCATCCTTTGTGTAGCTAGGAAACACATGCGCAAAATCTATCATTCGGACTTCAACGTTTGCGCTTTCCTTGATCTCTGCTGGCATGTGACAGAAAACTTTTTCCAGTTGGGGTATAACGTTTCCGTTCAGATGCTCCTGTGCAATGCACGTGCTGCTTTTCCACATGTTGTCTTGCTCCAAGTTTTCAACTTTTAGTGAGAGCTGACTGTGGTGCCTCTTAGAGTATGCCTTTTTGTGAAGTGCATAAAATTTGGACAAGCCTTTACTTACAGAGGCCTCAATTTTTCCATTCTCTGTAGAATTTATTACATGAATATTATTATTATACTCCAGTATGTCTCCACCTGATAACAGTCCTCTGGGCACTCCTCTCTTCTCTGCCAAAGTGACATCGCTCAACCGCATGGTTGCTGCCGGACACAAACCTTCATAGACAAACAGTAATGAGCTTGCATAAAAGTTGAGTTGCTTCTGGCCCTCAAACCACTTCAAAATTTTTTCAATCTTCAGAATGCTGGCAGCTATCGCATCTTTTCTCAAGCAGTATCCATTGTGAAAAAACTTTGAGATGCCTGCAAGGAACAGATACATTTTGGGATTATTTTCACCTCTGAAAAGATATCAAACATTTTTAATTTCTTTCAAGATGAGAATAGTTCTTGATATGAAGAAATAAGACAGTATTTGCATAGTTTCCTTTCAGGCAATTATTAACTAGATCAGAAGTGAAACAAGGAGCTCGCATACCTTCTGTCACCTCACCTGTATAAGGCTGGCTCTATAATACTACAGATTGGGCTTGGATTGTAAGTAAAATTAACTAATCAACCTATCGATCAAACAGTAGATGAACATGGTTCCTGCTCCCCATGTGATTTCAGCAAGCATCTGGACAGTTTTGGGCAGGGATCCATTACATTCTCCAGGGATAAAGAAGCTCAAGCAGCTCTTTATCATCAGTGACAGAGCTGACAAGTTAGTTCCAGCTCTGGAGAGGGGTGTGTTTGTGCATGTGTCCTTCTATCTCTCAGTGGGGGAGAGATGAACAGACATCAATTAATAACTAGTTTGAAATAGTTATCAGCACCAAACAGCTGTACGATGGTAGCATTTTTATTTACTGTTAATGTAGAGCAACGTATGGATTGACTTCAACAAAGAAGGTCACTTTAACTGAAAGATGCATTTACAGTAGCTTTCTAATAGAAAAGACGGGATATATTCACAGAAGGCAACCAGAGATAAAAATATATCTAATATAAAAACATCTACTACTTCTGAAAGTTTTCTATTTCATTATAGTCCCAAAGCTGCAAAGAAACTGCATTCTACTCCCTTATTAGTAGTAAAAGACACATGATGAGGCAATTCCTCTAGACTACTGCTGTTCAAGCCAACTGCAAACTTAATTTAGGATTGACACGTAGATCAAATGATACAGGGAACTGCTAAAGACCCATCTGGCAAGGGGAGAAAAAGGGACTTTTAAAATGGGAACACACAGACTACTTTCTTCTATACGGTTTTACAAAAAAAAGGAAATAAATGAAAGATATCTGAGAACACCAAATTCTGACACACAAATCCCCTTACCATCCTTTACTGTTTCCTTTGTCAAGCTCCTTCCATAGTGCTGGTTTTGCGTCTCATAGCTGTCAGAAGAGACATGGTAAACCTGCAAGAAACAAGGAGGTAACTCTGTATTCCTTTTGAACAACCAATATTTCTGCAGAGCTCCGAGACACCTTACAGACAGGCTACAAAACCTTTGGTACCATTTACCCCCCACCGCAGATATTGAAGCTATTTGCAGCGGTCAGGACTGCCCTCTAGTGCTCTCATCTGCAAAACCCTCCCCTTCACATCTTGGGCTCCAAGCTACAGATTTCCTGCATCTGAAAGGCGTAATTCTCTTGGCAAAAACAACATATCCATTACAGGAAAACATTTTATATGGCACCTGCCTTGCAAATCAATGCTATGAATATTAAATCACTAAGACATAACAAGCTCAAAAATTCAGTGTAATTTTACAGTTTTGAAAACTATAAAAATATTAAGCGCAGCAGCAAAACAATACGAAATACTTTGATGTGGCCAGGGAGGCTCAGCTCCATGAGACTCTTCTGAAACAATAATTGTTGGCACAAATAAGGTTATACTAAATAAATGACAGCAGTCGAGTGAAAGCTCGGCTCCAGCACTGATAGTGGTACATCATCAACTCTTGCCTGAAAGGGAGGCAACTCATACGGGTACAGTTTTGTCCATATCAGGAATTGTACAAGCTTAACAACTTAGTTCAAAAATGTTTTACACAAAGACACATTTTCTCTCTAACTGAAATAATTTCCACAGCAGAAACATGCCAGCCAGCCAGGCCCAAGTATAATTTGTTTATGAGAGTGCAGACAATTCTTATTTGCAGAAATAATGGTGTTACCAAGCAGGCAGCTGTCTCTGGCAGAAACTCTTGTGCTTGGCACTTGTTCAGACCACCCAACCCTGCAGCACCCATTGCGGCTGCAGCGCTCTGCCCTCCCTTCACCCTCCATAAAGAGAGAGGATCCCACGGAAAACAAGTCAGGGCGCATCGGTAAGAAACGCCCACCCCCATTCCCTCCTTTGGGAGTCTTTTTCTTGCTGTAGCCCACAGAGGCAGACCAGGACAGTGAAATATCAGCACAGAAAGAGGAGAGGTATCTGAGCAATAATTCAAAAGTAAATAAATAAATAAATAAATAAACAAAAATTTCCCTGTTTTCACTGTAGCCCCCCACCCCAAAATATCTCTCCCCCATCCAAACCACAACAAGTCCAATATGAAAACACAGGTCCATAACTCCTGCTTGGCAAAGCAGCTGTGAAGGGAAGTCTCAAATAGCTCTTATCTTGACAAAAAGATAGAAGTAATTAAATTCAGGGTCTCCAAGGAATTAAATCATAGTGTGTAGGAATTGATTTAAACCACCAACCATGAATTGAAGGGGCAGTAAATAATTCTGGTTATTCTAAAGAAATAACAGTTGTAAGCCTGAATGTTTAAACACACTTGGTAGCAGAGACACTTCCCAACTGCTACGATAGCTACAGAAACTGAGGCCCTGGTGTGTGGAAATTGCAGAAGAGCATAGCAGAGGTGAGTTATTCTAAAACAGCATCAAGTATGATCTTGGTTTCACAAAACCAGTCATTTTTTTGCCCCCTCTTTTTTGTTTTCCAAAGCACATAAGAGGTACAGCGTACAACCTAGGAAACCAAAGATTACTTATGTAAATGCTTCAGGTACCAAAGTTACTTTCAATAACATACAAAAAGTTTCAAAAACTTTTTTAAATTTAAAGACCCACAAGACAAAGGTAATTAAATAAAGCAAGAATAGAAAAACCCATATTGCTTAGGAAGAGGATCAAGAGTCTGATGATTACATCTAAGTTTTCACTAGCTCTGTCTTCATTTTAATAACATTAAATACGCTTGTCTAGTTGAGGTCTAGGGGCAGCTTCCTCCATGTACCGGCACTGCAGCACGCTCCTGAACGAATCATCTTGTTTACCAGAACCTTATCTCTCCCCCTACGAGCTAACAGTTTTTGTGACATGGGCACTTGCTCAAAAATGCCGATTAAGATCTGCAAGCTCATTTTGTTTTCCAAAGAAACACTGGAGCAGCACATAAACCCCCTGTGCTTCTGAGCTGGAGCCACCCTACCTGTAATAATCTGCACAAAACCATTCCCCTCAAACAGCTTTCGATATAGTTTTAAAATACCCAGGCAGACGTGCATGTCCTGCATTAACAGTGTGTTTTTAACTAGACAAAATGGCTGACGACAAACTACCCAGTCCCACACCCCAGCAGTGTCATGCATACACTTAACTATCTCGTGAAGACTCAGAACACCCTTGGTTACCAATAGCGTTGAAGGGCAACGTATGCAGGGAATCATTAAAGTGTTCTCCATGTCAGCCAGAGCTGTCTCTGAGCACTGCTTCAAGCCTTTCACAACCACAATGAAGTGACTAATCTTGGCCATTCAGTGATAGCTGGACCAGCTGGAGAGCTGGGCAGAGAGGAACCTGATGAAGTTCAAAGGCAAGTGTAGGGTCCTGCACCTGGGGAGGAATAACCCCAGGCACCAGCACAGGTTGGGGCTGACCTGCTGAAAAGCAGCTCTGCAGAGAAGGACCTGGGAGTGCTGGTGCACAGCAGGTTCACCATGAGCCAGCAGTGGTGTGCCCTCGTGGCCAAGAAGGCCAATGGTCTCCTGGGATGCATTCAGAAGAGTGTGGTGAACAGGTTGAGGGGAGTTCTCCTCCTTCTCTACTGTGCCCTGGGGACTCCACAGCTGGAGTCCTGTGTCCAGTTCTGGGCTCCTTAGTTCAAGAAAGACCAGGAACTACTGGAGAGAGCCCAGCGGAGGCTACCAAGATGATGAGAGGATTGGAACATTTCCCGTATGAGGAAAGGCTGAGAGAGCTGGGACTCTTCAGCCTGGAGAAGAGCAGACTGAGAGGGGATCTGATCAATCCTTATCAATACCTAAAGGGTAGGTGTTGAGACAATGGGGCCAGACTCTTCTCAGTGGTGCCCAACACCAGGACAAGGGGCAACAGGCACAAAAGGGAACACAGGAAGTTCCATCTGAAGATTAGGAAAAACTTCTTTACTGTGTGGGTGCCAGAGCCCTGGGACAGGCTGCCCAGAGAGGGTGTGGAGTCTCCTTCTCTGGAGAGATTCCAAACACCCCTGGATGCCATCCTGTGCAACCTGCTCGAGATGGACCTGCTTTGGCAGCGGGGTTGGACCAGATGATTTCCAGAGGGCCCTTCCAACCCCCACCATTCTGTGATTCTGTGACTATTTGAAACATTCCTGGAAAACCTCAATCCAAATCCAAATATATTAAGCCCCATACTGAAAGCAGAGGAACAGAGACCCAAGTTCAATCAGAAAGACTCTTTCACCAGTTCTTGCTTCACCCTCACCTATCCCCAAACGCAGAGATGGCTGTGCTGTAGTAGCAGAATTTCCTAGTCTACAAGCCTCTTGCTTCACTCTGCTTTTGTTCCCACCTTCACAGCTACTAATGTGCTACTAACCCTTCCCAAAAGCATATTTGCCTTTGAACCAACCTTTTTCCGTATCCCTGTTGTTGCAGCTGTCTGTACTAGCCCATTTCTGCCAAAACAATTACAAGTCAAATAAGTCAAATCTGTAACCTTAACAACAGCCACAAAATTATTAGATAGGAAAATCTCATTTCTTGTCCACCTGCTGCAGCTTGTTATGTGTTTGCTCTTGATTCACACGGAGTTCCACTGTATAGTGCAACATAAAGAACATTCCTTGTATGATCTGCAAAGCATTGCCTTCAAGAAGGCTCCTGCTTAGTCAGTGATTTTTATACGTTCTTACTACACAAAATCAGAGCTGTTTTGGCTGACAATACAGAGGCTCCTCCTTGTGTCTACACGCAGCTCCCATTCGGTGAGGTTTCTGCATAAAGCAAACTGGAATCCAGCATGCTAACAGGTACAGTTTTTTAACTACTAGTAGTAGGGACTCTGTATGTGCAACACAACAAAAAAAATCAAGATGATTAACCGTCGAGGGAAAATCTCTTTGAACTTTCTCAAGCTGCACCTGGCTTTAGTTTCCCCACAAGGTGTTAAGTTATTGCTCCTTGCATCCCCACACATATTTTTGTACCCTTTTTTCAATTACTGTTAGTTCATTTGGCTTTCTTGAACTGTGGGAAACCTTGAGCTAAAATAAAAAGTTGGTCCAATGTGCTCTTTAAAAAAGTGCAACCCTCACAAGATCTCAACAGTGAGATACACAATTTGGCTTTAGGACACTAAGCTGAAGACTGGATTCAAGAAAACAAATATCAAATTTTATGTAACGTTATTTACAGTAATTCAGTATTGACTTCCATGGCGAGGCAGAAAAATACACACACTGTTCAAATACTTATCTGTGGCAACTCCCTAACTTCCAGAAAGTATAATTTAAATGCATATTAATTAAGACTAGCCTGTTTGGTGGAGATACTGCTATCACAAATAAAAATCTCTATTTAATAACTTGCAGACCTCCTTCACATCTGCAAAAAATATTAACTAATCCACTCCATCAAAACTGGAAAAAAATATCTGGAGCAGGCTCGTACAGAACTACAGTGGGGTACCTGCAGAGCGATGGTTAATGCGACTGCAGGAGTGATACGGACTCACTCCTGCGCCGCTGACATTCCCATGCACCGGCCAGTGTCTGGGAAGTGGTTTCCCACAGAGCTCCCAGTGCTCACCCCTGCTCTCTGCATGCCCTGCCAAGGCAGCCCAGGACCTGCTCTTCTAAGCAAGGACACGGGGATTAGAGATACACGCTCTGATGCTGAGAAGTCCAGACTTCAAAGTGCAAAAGGCTGAGCTGTCCACCCCTCGTATTTTTTCCGTAAATATACTTAACTCACCCCTATTTTACACTTACGCAGGTAAAAGCAAGTGACTGTTTAAATATGACACAGTTTCCTGTTTACAGCAAGGCACCTCTGTACTCGTAACTGGCATCTCAAGGTCAGTACCCAGCCTGCACCCAAAACTAGAGCCAAGCGGGAAGCCGGGGGCAAGCAGGCAGCACCCTGGCTAACCCCAGGACATCTGACAGCAGCAACAGGCCAACAACTTCACAGGGGTAACTTCAGCACCAGGCCAAGACCCACACCCACAACTGGGTACCTTTTACCCAGGCCTGATGATTGTCCCTATATAAATATACAGGTTTCCTTCATGCCTGAAGAACCAAGGTTTCTCCACAGTCTCTCAGAGACTGATCCTGCACAGGGAAAGTCTTAACCATGGAGTTTTAACAAGCCTTTCCCCACCCCCCCAAAAGAAAGTAAAGCAAGGATTTGAAGAAAAAAAGAACAAGGGGAAAAATTTTTTAAAATACATTATCTAATTTGACACTACTGCTTTATAGTAATGCTACCCCACTATCACTGCTGCTCAGAACATTTCTTTAATGTGATGGAAGTACACACATCTCTGTTTGCTGCTGGTTTGATAATTCAGTGCAGGAAGGATGCACCCCTGCTCCCCTGTTTCTAAGACTACACTTACATAATATTCTATCTGTTTTGCTTCTTTGTTCTTCTGGTATTTGACAGAGTGCTTTATACTATTCAGTATACCACCAAATGACAGCCTAACAATCAACATAAAGTTTTAATAAGACCCTTACATAAACAAGTTGTAGAATGAAATTATGTTGAAACTAATTCAGTGAAAAAGCAGAGTAATAATCTCCTAAATAAAAGAAACAATGACACTGCAGTTTAAACCATCAACCATCTTAAAAATAGCTTAATATATATGGACTCCCAGAATTTCCTCAGAGCATCTCATCAGAAAAAATTTCTTTTATGCCTCCTTTTTATAAAATGGGAGCGGGGGGAAGGCGATCTCTCATCTACCATCATCAGCTTCTTCCTAACATACAGGAAATCTTATCAGCTGTAAGGATAGAAGCGAACCAGCCATCACATACATGATGAGTCTTTCATGGAAAGAAAAAATTGATGGAAAAAAAAAATACCAGAAGAAAACCCCGTCTGCTAGAACTCGCCCAAGGGGATGACAGATGAATCTCCTGAACTCTACAAGTGAAGTACTTCTGAAACGTACCCTTCAATCCACTAGCAGATACCAGACTCGGAGGAACTGCTGCACCAGTTCCGCAGCACGGATTCAGCACCCTCAGACTGAGAAACAAATGAGCTGAACTCAGCTGCAAGAACTGGGGAGTGAAAGTGGACAGAGAGAAAAGCGGAGGAGATAGCAGTGGTGGCAGCACACAGAGGTAACAAAGCCAGCACAGAGAACCACCCAGAGCCTTGGTTTCCTGCTCACTTCAGCCACTGCAGACACTTATTTCCAGACTCTCGGCGGGGCTTGCTTGTTTGGAGGGGTTTTTTTCAGGGCTTTTGGTTGGTTTCTTTGGATTGCTCTGGGGTTTTTTTGTTTTGTTTGGGTTTTTTGTAGTTTGGTGGTGGGGTTTTGTTTTGTCTTTCTGTTTTCTTAAACATCAAAGCTTGAGTTAGACTTACAAATTTAAAAAAACCCAGTTCTGGTCATTTTTTACTGTGGAAGAGTATGAACCCTAGATGCAGGATTTAATAGCTTTATTATTCCTCCCTTCCTAAATCTTGTTATTAACACACAGAGCTTATGAAAATTACCATGATACTACATAGGGTTCATAAAGAACTCATAGAATGGACTCAGCAACAGTCAGTTTTAAAATATCTTGCAGGAACACGTGCTGTAGATTAGGAAATTCATTTGTAAAAAGAGCTTTGATGAGGTATCTGCATTTCTGCATGCAATAGTTCATAGGCACAAACAATAAAAGTAAATGATGGATTATACTGGTAAAGTTACATAATCACTAGTTTGTGCTTTAAAAACATGTTTCAGAAATATTAGGGATATTTCAATCAAAAGGTTCTGGAAGGAAAAAGAAAACCTGCAATCAGGAACTGTGGATTCTGAACAGACTGTGAATCCAAAATGACATCACAACCCACACATTCAGCTTGTATTCAGCCCCACACAAAATACTCTATTTTTAACACTGCATGCACTGTGAAGACATTTCTGATATTTTTATATGTCTACCACTGAAACCATATTGCAATTTGTATTTTTGCTATTGGAACTGCACCTTAGTTTTCCAACTTACATTTAAGCTCTCACTATTTTCATAACAAAGCTATGTCCTCATCTGTTAAAGAAAGGAACCTCTCCAGTAAAGATGAATTTTTTTTCATTTTTTAAGTGATGCTATTTAAGTGACTGTATGTTCAGTGCATTAAGATGGATATAGTTTAGCATGTGCCAAATGCCAGAACTATGTACATGAACCAAAGCTCTGCTCTACTCACTTCTTTAAAGGACAAACCATACATATTTTGTATATAAGCAGATGACTGCTTATTTATCAGTGCACTAAAAAAGCTGTATCAATGGCTTTTGGGGTAAAAAACAACCTATAACACATTTTTGCTTGTGTCTCTTCATGACAGCTTCTATGATGTGTGCTTTAAAAAACACAGATAACTACATTTTCTACTTTTCATGGCCTTCTCTTTCTTCCTTTTTAAAATAGTAACAGAAACTTAATAGGCAAGCCCACCCCCATGTTAAAAATAACACTGAAGAGAGAGATTAAAACCAAACCCCTCTGCTTTCTGAATTGTGTCATACCATGTTTTGTCCAGCAAACACTAGCAACTTCTGTCAAGCACGGTAGCTGTTAGAGGCAGTAAATGCCTGTACCAGAGAGCATTTTACATTATGGCCAGAATCTTGCAAAAATAAAGCAAGTAGAAAGGCAGAGAACACCCCATCATCAAGAGGTGGCAAGCTGAGCAGAGAAAACGCCTTGTGGATTTAGACTTTTCTAAGCGTTGTGTGAGGGGAGGAGGAACCTTTTGAATTATTTTTGGAAAAAAATTTCCAACGTACAATTTGGTACCAAAGGCGCAAAACAAATCTTATCTAGTTAAATACCAGATAGGAAACAGCAATGCTTGGGGGAACCATCATTATACACACAGCCTGAATTAGGGAATCAAAAGAATTTCTGCACCAGGATAAAGATACCAACAAATGACAATGCTAGAAGCAATAGTCACAAGCAAAAATACACAGAAGCAAGCATTTGTTCCATTTGCACTGTCATGAAACAAAGGATGTGAAGTACATTGTTTTCCACATGAGATAAGAAAGGTTACATAACGACGTAAGCCAAATCCAAAGCTATAATAATCTCCAGCCTTCCTTCTCCATCTGAACTGTTGGACTGGCTTTTGACTCGACTCCCACCTTCTTTCTCATAGGCTTACATAATTACTACTCATGACCACTAAAATTTATAGCTGTAAAAGCTTATCTCAAGACAGAGTTAAGGCTGAGAGCCTAGGCAATTAAGTACAAAACATTACAGAGACATTAGAATTATTTCAAACAATGGTGCAATCTGTGTGCTGTTGCTATCTAACAGCAAAGAGGAAGCTTATCAAAGTCTTCAGCCATTTGCGCTTGTTGATGCAGAGCCTGAGAAGCCCTGGCTTTGTGTATGCGAGAAGGAAAACAAAAATCTCGTATCAAAAAGAAAATTATTCCCGCACCAATCACAGCAGAAAAAAGTACTTTAAAGGTATTGCATCAGGAATTCATCACTGACATCAACATTTATGTTACTGATCCATAAACATTCTGTACAACTTCTCTTTACATTGAAATTTTAGAGTAGTAGCCAATACACAATTATTGAATCTTCATCTTTCTCCTCACCTAAGATAAGGAGATGTAATAGTGGTTGAATGGATTTAATAGTGGTAGCATGGATATCTGAAGGGCCTTATTCATATCAAACTAACCTTCAAATGACAGCTGTTCCTCAAGCATGTAAGCATCAAAGTTTTCTTCTTGTCTTGCCTTTTTAAGTGCAGAATGTAAGCAGCTATTTATAATTACATGCATCACCTCTGAGAGCTAACTTACTCTTCCCTAAACAGAAAAATTACATTTAAATTATTTTGATTTAAAAAACAAACCCCCCCCCAAAAAAAAAATAAAGAAAAATCTGGAGAGAGGAAAGCTCATTATTAAATTATTACAAAGACTGGTTCAGTATGTAAATCTCTGATATAAGCCTAAAAGTAAAAAAAATACTTTGATAATTTGAAATAGCTGCTATGCAAGAAGAGTTAATTGCAATTAAATTTAGTTTCAAATAACTATGTTCTGTCCCAGCCCCTTTCTTGTATACATACACAGAACCCAAGTTGCAAACTGATTCCCAGAAGGGACATGGCCAAGTTAAACACTTGTGAATGAGAGCAGTGTTTTGGAACATATTTCACACAACAGTTGATACCAGTACTACCAACATATTCAGATAACACTTTATTTACATAAAACTCAAGAGGACTGTAATTTGCTAGAAAAACTAGCTGCTGTAACTGGTGTGGGACAACAGGCCAGAGCATAAGTTGAATTTGAAAACAAAACAAGTTCTTACCCTCATGCCAAGTACCAAAAAGCCAATCTCTTCCATCAGCGGGTACTTGCTGACCTGCTGCTGTATCTTCTCAGCTGAAGCATACGGATCGTAACTTTTCTGACCTATTTTTACATCCATTATGCAAGGCTTATTAAACTTACGGGTCACATCTTCCAGTTTCAGATACATATCTGTTAAAAAGATAAAACTTTCATAAACAATAGGTCAGAGCAAAATAGTTATATAATTTCTGCTGAGCTTCTGTGGAGGAAGGAGACTAGTTTAAGGCTTAATATCACGTGAGTACTTTAAGAGTCAAATTTGTCTCTGAACACAGACTAAATCCTGGTCATTGACACCCACGGATTCTGTTGGCATTAAATTCTAAATGCCTTATTGTTCAGAAAATTGTATACAATTAAAGTGTGCTAACTTAGCACTCAAATTCAAATTATTACCCAGATGAAATTCACAAGTAGCTTTTATTAAGCCATTAACATACTTCAAATAGCACATACAAATGCAGGTTACTACATGGCTGGTTTTGCAATGGAGATGGTGCTTTCTTTCTCTGTGTCAAAGGGCTAGAATTAAAAGGAGAGTTTTTTCTTGTGTCATTTTAAAAATGAAATTAACATTTCAGAGTCCTACCCTACAGGGGCCAAAATGTATTTCATTTTTCTTCTTTTTATCCCACTCCCATCTGTACTCATTTCTCATGACACACCTTTTGGTGAAAACACTCCTCAAATCCTAGGCTGCCTTTCATCCATTTCCAAAAGTCCCTTTGGGAAGGTGGGTGGAACAAAAAAAACCCCAAGCCCTTGGAGTGCCTGAAGATGTAAAGGAGCAACTAAAACCTGGTCAAACTGGTTTATGCTTTTCTCCAGTGCAGGTAAGAGACTATTGCCAACATGATCTCCAGCATGGATTGTCAGAATACAAGAAGAAAAACTTAAGTAACCACTTGACTGGCAGGACTCTGCTTGGAGGAAGCGCACACAGATCTCCAGCCCTTGCCAGGGCAGGACACGCACCAAGACAGCACGCAGCATTAACACACATCTCCTTCGCACCAGCTTCTGCAAATCCACCATCCAAAAACAGGAAAGTCTTTCTTTCAAGCACAGCCTATTCCATGAGTGTATTTCTTTGGCTTTAAAGAAATCTGAATACACATAAACATTGTATTACTCCCCATTCCTTCAGCATAATCTAAAATGGGATTGCCAAAAAGAGCAAAACCAGTGCAAGTTTAAAGAGAGAAGAGGGACAAAGGGCCTTGCTTTGACAGCTGTACAGAGAGCTAACAAAACCAGCTGGAGTGAAGATAAGGGAAGAAGCAATGTTCCATTTCCACTTAATAAGTAGAAACAGTTTCTTAAGGGTAAGAAATGAAAGGGACTTCTATTCCTTTAATAAGTCCTACTTAGAGCTTCAATTTTCACACCATCATATTCAAAGGCCCTGATTCAAAAAAGTATGTATGTACCAATCTCAAAGAGGTTTGATTTAATACTTAGATGCCTGCTTTATCTATAAATGGGACTAAACATATTGTTAATGTAAACTCATTCTCAGGAAAGCATGTCAAACCAATACACCATTTAAAAAAAAAATCCAGTCTCTTACTAACTCACTGTCTCAGCTTGCAGTACTTTTCAACGTCCTTTGGGCTACTGAACCAATCTAGTTACAGCAAAAAGAGTTTCGTTATAGACTAGCTCACCCATAAATCAGGTTTGTTAGCTACAACTGCAGGAATAGCCAAGCTAAAATAACTCATACTTAACTTTGAGAAGCCACAGGTAGCAAACATACTCTGTATTTGCTCACTAGATATCCCCTAAAGAAAAGTGAGACAAATAGTCTCCTTACCAGGAGGTGTATTCTGTATCACCTGAACTGCAGGTGCCACTTCTTCTATTCAAAGTTTTTATACACAGCTCTAATTCAGTCAGATATTAGCACAGCTTTTGTGGGGCTTTGGTGAACCACTACTGAATCCAGGGGAGTCCATATAACCTGTCAGCTATCTGTTATTAAAACAAAAGTTCTAAAAATCTAAGCATTATCCTTCACACCTATCTTTTTGCATAACCACTGTAATCAACAGATTCGTGTCATCACTCTAAAACAATCCAGAAAACAAAAACTAAATGAAATTCAAGGTTTTCAGTACTTAGCTCTCAAAAGTATTGAGCCAGAGGTATGCCATGGGAGGTGGGGAAAGAAAAGAAATACAAAAAGGTCTCAGAAAATAGCTGCAGTCCATCACCACCAACTCCAAAATGCTCTGGATTATGTTGTGAGCACCTATGGGCTCAAACTGTTACAAATACAAAAATTGTACAAATTACCACGAAGTATACAAATTGTTTAGATGCAATGTTTTTATCAACCCTAAAATATAAATGAATATAAAGTAGTGTAAAACACCTATTTCCATAATGCAATAAAAAATGAGCCCATAAAAATAACTAACCTAAAAAGCAGAACTTAAATCTCCCCAAACCTAGCATACTTCCCTTCAGACAACATGCAGGCAAGAGAGTTGTGCTCTTTCAATCAAAGGCACTTGTAGAGTACCCATGGTCATCCGCTGTCCTCTACTCCACTGGTCCAAACCCCTCTTTTTAACCAACATCCAGTACCTCCAAAATATTTAAAAGCTCTAAATATCTGTCACTTTTTAGTTCCACATCCATTTCACATCTGTTCAGCTAGAATATCTCCCTTACTGACCTCCTAGAAATGTAACAATTATTATTTTTTAATAATTAAGCATTAAAATAACTTAGGAGCTAAAACTAAGCTTGGGAAATACTAGTTTCTTGGCAAAGCCTCTGAATTATTCAGAAATTGCTCCTCTCACATTTTTTTGAATTATTATTTAAGTTTTCATCACTAGCTAACTGTTAGGTCAAAATTAAGACTATGTTACATCTGTTCAGTGCGCACTCCCACTCTCCAAGAAGCTTTTTGTCCTTGTGGGGAGAGCAATGCCACCACAGATAAAGCATTATACCCAGTTATTTTTTTCTCATTGCAGCTTCAGAAAAAGGCATCAAGTGTTCACCTTTTGTTTTTCCTGGCACTGTTCGGTTCTTATTTGCATTGTGTTCAAGTTCTATGGTCTCCTGAAGCAGACCCCAAAACCACACTATCAGAACGTAGCACAACTTTCAACAGTTACCCCCACAATACCTCACAGCATTACCACTAAGGCAAAGTAAGTTTCAGATTCAGACATTGGTAGGTATCACTGTTCTACCTTTTCAAGCCAGGTGCTCTCATAGTCTTTGAGGATCTGACCCCAAGTGTCCTTCTCAAGGTCATCAACAAGTCTGCGGCTGAGCAAAGATAACCACAACACTCTCCTTCCTCTCTTTGTTTTGTTAAACAAAAAAATGCAGATTTTTCAAGCAGTTCAGATCTTCTAAATTATTATGTAGTACGCTGCTAATCCAACATGCTTCTGAAAGTCACACATGTGCCATCTAAAAAGAGGTTAAATTAAAATCCCCTGCAGAGGAAAGAATTCGTAAGGATTTTTCTGTCCTAGCTTTGGTAGATAATCCTGACTATACATTTCAAGCAACAATTTCATGGTTTCAAGCAAATCTTTCCTTTCTATTTTTCAGTGGCAGGGCAGGAGGCAGGAAGACATGGCTTGACATTATTTACATATTTCATTACAGTCTCAAAGGAGACAAACTGAAAGATCACCAAAATTCAGTGAGTATGCATGGCATGAACCACTGCAGACTTCAACACGTACATGCTGATGCATTCAGTCCTCACTGGAATCAGAAGTGACAAAATAACTTCAGGCATCTGACTTCTTCGCATAACTTACAAGACATCTCTCAAAACATATGAATGAGCAGGGAAAAGCCTCAGTTGCTCCCAGCAACAAGGAAAGAAAAGAAAGGTTTGAAGCTTGCTTATATTTATCTACCCTGTTCTCAGTTTAGGCAACAAAAATTAAGAGCACAGTATGAAATGAGCAACACTAAAGTTATTTAAAAAAAATTATGCAGGGGCAACAAGTAGGCAGCAAAACCTGGATTTGTTAGCAGGAGATATAAAAAGCTTAACGTGGCTCCTACATCTCTATGACAACTTTTCCATTTCTTTATTAATAAACTCCAAATGCCTACAATGCCAGTGAACCCAAAGTTCTAATCAAATTGTCTCACTCATATTTTAGTTCAGCTTCAGGAGATGGAGTGTCACCCACCTCCAACTCCATCTCCTGCACAGCAGTACCAGGCATGTGATTTCGGCATAACAGGACAGTTATTTTACAATTTTTATTGATATTGTGAATATCAGTCCATCTTTTCTGCCACATTTCCCATATTCTCATTTACACTTAATACATTTCATCTCTTTTAGCTAGCAATTTCATACACTCATCTACGCTTGTAGCATAAAAGACTGATGCTTTTCCCTAAATATTTCTCTAAAATAATAAACTCTCTGTTCTCCACCTTATCCACCGCAGTTCCGGCTTACCTGTCACATGGAAACTCAGAGACGGTCACAGATCAAGTTCAGACTGGTCCTAAATCAAGTTACTCTGGGTTTTGTCCAACTACAAGCCTACAATTCATGTCTGTATGAACCTACGCAAACTCTCAACCCCCTGCCCAAGATAACAACTATGATGCTACACTACAAGACATCATTCACCAGAGAGCCCCTCTTCTTCCTTATCTCATAAATAAAAGAACTTTATATGAAACAAGGACACCAATGGCCAACTTTTCTCTGCCCTGGCAAACCAGGCAAGCCATTGTTCCTCTACACAAACACTCTTAAAAATAGATACATAGTTCAGAACATGCAGCAAGCACCATTTGGTAACTGATAAGATTGCTTCATTTAATTTTTTGTTTTTTAGAAGCTGCCTATGCCAAATTTAGCAACAATAAGGAATTACTGGGTTCACTACTCAAAGGTTGTCTGGAGCTGTTCCCCCAGAGTCTGTAGAGTAGTGACTGCCAAAGGAAAGGTCAGGCTTCCAGAGTCAAGACTGTGAAAACCTACAAATACAACCTCAATCTACATTTAAGAACCAGATACCTTTCTAGCAGCTAGATTCCCTCATCTAACGTCACTGGGACACATCACAGCAGCTAAGCACATTGTTCAGTCTTTTGAACCAGAGCTTAATCCACAGTTAATTTAGGGGAACAGGTAACAAACCCATCCCTGATTTCCTCCAAAATAGCCTTGTCCCTCCTCTGTGTGGTTACTTTCCTCTTCCTATTTTTTGTAAACTTGTTTTCCTACTTTTTATGCAGTCTAAATGCAACACTGCTGATTCTTTCACCGATGCACACACACAAATGCATCACAGAGGTCTCCCCTCACATCTGGCATGAGCAAAACTGCATTTGCAAATACCTGCTAAACAACAGATGACTTCCAACGTGAATGGCTACCCCCTTAGCTTTGGATGTATCCAGCACACGTGCGTTCTGTTAAGCTCTATCATCTCCAACGTATTTGATTTCTATCAAGACTACACAAAACTCATTAATACGACAGATAACAGAGTTGGCAATGGAGTGTTTTGTTTGAATGCCTGCCATAGGTGTCTATGAAGAGGGCTCCTGATAGCACACAGTCTTCAAGAAGCAAAACAAACAAAATCAAAAGTTATTCTTCCTTTAAACAGTTATTCCTACTGGCTATGTCTTGACTACTGGTGGAGACCTGCCAAAATTCAGCCCCATGGTGCACAGCGCTAGTGAATTCCCAAAATAAACTAGGGATGTGTTGAATTACTGTATCTTGGCTAGACCACACATTTTTACATCTTAAGATCCTACTGTGAATAGAAAAGAATTGATTTGCAATTTGGAGGGGACATTAAGTGAGCTCCATGACACACATAAAATTATGAGGGAAGGAAAAAGACAGCTCTGGTAGAGCTATGTGAGTTAGTGCCAAATATGAAAATGTGAAGGCAAATCTGAGCCAAGAAAGTTCTGGGCACTACCACAATCCTTCTTGCATTTCTTTTTGCAGAGTTTAAACAGTGCCTTTGGACACCATCTTAATACTCTTTTTGGAAAACACGTTTATCAAGTGACAGCATATAAGCAAAAGAAGACAGTTCTATTAAAGGAGCACAGCACCTAGTTTTGGTGCCCGTGTATTTAAACGGACTCAACGGCATCATCATGGTTTGTTCCAGAAGCTCCATTTCTCCAGTGTGGATAAGAAAAGGCCCCAGAAAAAAAAAAAAAAACAAAACCAAAACAAAACAAAAACACAACAACAAACAAAAAACTGTTTCTGTTTTAAATACACCAATAATATCTATTTTCTCTTGAAGAGCCAATCTTCCAATGGTCCTTTTTCTTCCTCACTCCTAACAAGTTATACAAACAAAAAATTAAGGTGTCGGAGCTTTGTTCTATTCAAACCAGTAAGAGAGGATGATGAGCCTTCCTTCCTTTGGGAGGAAGACCTCAAAGACCCAATCCAGCCAGAGGACTGCAAACTACAATCTGTTGTTAGAGGGAACATTAGTGGGCTACAAAACCAAAGCAAAAAAACCCTATGGAGCTCGCAACTGACAAAAATCAGTCTCCAGAGGATCTTTCCAGGAGGTTTGGATTAACAGATAAAATTAGAACAGTACCATTTGGTGCAGTAGGTGGTGACCAGACACCGAAGTATTTTGGCAGATATTCCCGCAGCTCCAGAAGAATGCTGTCGCAACAGTCAGAGTCATAAACCTGAAATAAATTAGGGAGGGGTAGGGAGATCATAAGTTTAAAACATTCATTTCATACTTCCAATTGTCCCACAATTATAATTTCTTACAGTTTTTGTTTTCATATGTTTGAGATTTCTACTCTGCATTTTGAAAAAGTACAAGATGAAGATGACAATTATCATAGTCCAAAATAAATTAATGCTATCCTTTCTTTCAAATTTTAAAGTGTAAAAGATGAATCAACACTAAGTAAGAGTAATGTATGGTTAACTTGAATAAAAATCTAAACTATGATTGTTAGCACTGAAGCTTATTTAGCAAAAAGGGTGTTCTCCCATCCTGGATCTAAGACTGTAGAGGATTACTACATTGTACCATATATCCAAAGTTTTTATAGCTATATCAGGTAAAGTATACAAGCTCAGACTGGACAGTATTTTCTCTTCTACCAAAACAACTCATCCCGTAACTACATCACACAGACAATACACAGTTCAAATATATTTCTTTTCATTTGCTTTAACGCTTTCAACGTTTTTTTCAACTTCTGTAAGAAAAACAAGAACACTTTGGGAACAGCAGCTGGCTCATATTCCTGAAGGAGTGATTCTTTGCAGAGTTAAGATGAAGCCTTGGATACTATCTGCTACGGACTTGCACAACTGTCACCAGTTTCCAGGGTTGTTGTCAAGAGGGTTCCAAAACTGTTCCCTTGACCAGTTTCCCTCGCCCTGCCCAAAGATCCAGTGACAGACACAAGGGATAGCCCACAGCAGGGTTCAACATGCTTTGCAGACTAAAAGATCTATAACCACGCCACGATGGGTTACAATGATTATTACTGCATTTTGGAACCACCTCATCCCAATCCCCTCGCAGCTCTACCAGCCCTGATGCTATCAGGGTCGTGTCCGGCCCTGCAACCCTGCAGCAGCCGCGCAGCGATACCCACAGACACTGCGTACGAGCGACCGGGGCAAGGTAACAATTCTGCTTTTGCGGCAGTACGTGATGCACAGGAGCGCAGGCAGAGCCCGCTGCAAAGTTTGAAGCAATGCAAAACGTTATTTAAGGTGTTAACAGAGCTCTGCAGAGTTGGCTCAGCTCACTGCTTTGAGATCCACATTTAGCGACGGTGGGAGAGTATCTTGCAGTGGAAACTACAAAGGGTAGGTGTTGCAAAATACATGCCTTTAGCGTCGTAATATTAATACATCTAGGGAGGAAAAAAACCCCAGACCTGAAGTCCAGCTACTATTTTAGAGCACCAAGGCAAGCCTCAGCTATGATCACCAATGCCGTGTAACTCTAGACGGAGCCTCATGAAGCAGCAGAACTTTAAAATTAGTCAGTGCGGGTTCAGCTAAATTTAGGTTTCATTGCAGAAACCTCAAACTGGCAAAACTCAAATCACCAGTGTGCTTCACACATACCAGCCACAATTTTGACACCTTTACGCCAGCACTGTTACTGGACAATGACTGAGAAGGTTATACAACCAAATCCACACCGACTTCAAGCTAGAGGATTTAGTTTGACCCATTCTTTAACCAGCTCATGGTATAAACCCCATTTTAAAGACCTTAAGGAGGGCACCAAATCCTCAAAGTTCAAAACACACAAGTATGTGCATGATGCAAAAGACTGACATATGCCTACTGCCACACCCTCTACCACTAACTGTTGCTACCTTAAGCATACAAAAGTTGCTGGGTGTGTATCTGACAAGTCACAGTGTCATATCCCCAGGCACTGATCACTTTTCCCATGTCCTGGTTTGACAAGCTGGGATCACCTCTGAGGACTACAGGTAATCAATTGTACGTCTAGGCCTATTTTTCCTCCATGTTAACATAAGCTGGTATGCTGATATTCTTGTGTTCTAAGACAAAAAGCTTTGCTTGTCCCTGGGATCAGTGGCTGCTGTTTATTTTTGTTTATGCAGCATTTCTTTGCTGAGCCTCAGATGTTGCCAGCAGAAGACAGTGCTTTCTCCAGAAGACTGCAATGTAGCTTGATCTTACTAGCTTAAGGAGGAAAAAAAAAGAGTGGGAGACAAGACAGAGAGAAAGATTAGCACCACACAGATGCTGAGGCACAGACTTGTCCAGGGCTATCTTTTATAAGAGAAATCACTGTTCTCCACCGTACAGACGGCTGTTTCTGGGCTAGGACTCCAAGCACTGACGGGTGGAATCATTTCACCCTGTGGGTGTTTTCAGACAAGTAGTACAAACCCAATTTTTGTTTACTGTGGTAGTTTATTATCATAGCATCTCAGCCAAGACAATGAACTGCATTGCACACAGAACAAATACTGTTGTCTCAGGTGAATTTAAGGAGATCTGAGAGGTAGTGACCATCACGCAGTATCACAGCCTTTACATGGGAGCAAGTATATATGTTTAGGAAAGGATAAAGAGGGGAGAGATGAAAGCAAAAAGTGCAGCAGACAAGCAGGAGAAATACTCAATGCAATTGAAAAAAAAACAAAACAGGAAAACATAATGAGAACTCATTTGCTTAATTTACTGGCAAAAAGATTGGGAGAAAGTGACATGTCAGGAGACTATTTCCATTTTTTAAAGAGGGACAGTACTCTTGCTTTGACTTACCTTTTAATCACTGACATTAGGTGATTAAATTTAGCAACTTAGCAAGTAACCACAAGTATGCTCCTGTGTATTTCAAATAGTATGATACAATAAAGATATTCAGATAATTTATAATGGGTTGTAATAGCCCAAAGTCAAGGCCAAATGGGGAAAAGAGCTCCAGGAGTGATATCTTCCAAGTAGTCTACCCTTTAATATACTGATATAAGATATTTTAAATGAAGACAAAACTTACAGTAATGCATTGTTCAGTATCATTACTTCAGCATAGCAGAACTAAGAGCATTATTTTTGTCTCTCAAGAAGTTATCTCATCCCAGAAACAGTAATAAACTCCCCTCATAAGTCTGACGTAACATATACAAAGCACTCATTTGACCTTAATATAGACCTCAATCTCAGCCTATAATGTATTTGCATGTCAAACAAGAATAAGCACTCAGTTAATAAAGATCAGAGGAAGTCATTTGGTGTGGGCAAAGCAACAAAACCTGACATTTCAGGAATTGTTCTCATTGCTATGCAGGAGAGAACCACTTCTGCTCATTAGAGAGGGGCTTTGTAAACAGCACTCATGCCATGGGCATTTCTTCTCATTTCATACAACCTGGTGGCAAGCTACACATTTAGATGTCATTCAGAATGCCAAATATAAATGTATACAGAACAAAACCATCCCTAAAATTAAACTGGAAACAAACGGTGCATCTCATGCTCCAAAAGGTATCGCTGCCAATACTGCTGGAAAACTCATGGAAGAGACAGGTTGTCACTTGCCCCAGAACAACCTTTAGAAATGAACCATCATCTTTTTACTTATATCAGCGATATTCCAACTTCAGATCAAGCAGCTGCACTCTTTTTTTTTTTTTTTAAAATAAAAAAGGTAACAACAGGTCCATTCATCCAGCATACACTGACAAATCCAAGTTATTTCTGCTTTACCAGTAAGCCTATATAACATCTTCATCCAACACATCAAGAACCACAAAACAATTCAGTGTCAGCTCGGCCAGGGGAGGTAGCCATTCTACATATCACAGGCTACATTCTTCCAACAGGACAAACTGGAGACATAAAATGTAGTAACTGTTGGGCTTAAAAACAAGTAAACAGGATGCTGACATTTGGAGGGCTCACAACACAACCATTACAAATTACAGCAACTAACTCATAGGAAGACTATGCCCCAGATATGTCCTGTGGCAGCTCAGATAGTCTAATAGACACCATGAAGTCATAATTTCCAGTTATTCAGGATTTTTTAATTCCGAGGCAAATTTACCATCCCTTAGTTTTTAATCCAAAGTACATTCTGTTTGTTTTGATAAGCCTGATCCAAATAGATTCATCTGTTTTTTAATGCAACCAGGGGCTGTTTGGGAGAACGGGAATGTTCTTTTCCTTATTTAAAAGCAGCATGACGTTCATGGTTTTTTGTTTTCTAAAGACTAGCTAATCACATAAATGACAGAGGGAGGGTAAAAACAAATGTTTAAATTGCAACAGGAAACTAGTTTTGGCAGTACAGACCCATCTTCAATTGTCCTGATGAAAAAATATAACTTTGACAGAAACGTAGTCTAAAGAGAATCTTCTAGAGTACATAAAAGAGCTGCTTTTAAATAATATATATATATATATATATATTAAATTAGCATTTATTTTAAAGCCATTTGAATAGGAAACTTTAAATGCCATCAGCCTGAAGCATCACATTTTCTTGTCTCCAGCTATCACAAATTGTCCCTAAGACAGCAGCACTGTAGCTTGCAGAGCTGCAGGACACACACCCAGCTGCCAACATCAGGTAGACTTCAGTTTCCAAAGTAGTTTTTGGGGGGTTCCTGAGTGGTGGGAGCAGCTAATAAGTCAAACACGCCAAAGAGCAAATACAGGATTTACAGATGATAGTGCAACCTTAACTCTGTCGCCCACTGTGTATGCACTATATAACTGACTTTATTTACCTGGGTGCACACTGCATTTCCCTCTGGACGCCGACATCACCCAGTTACCAGGCAAGTGCAAGCGCCAAAAAACTGAGGTTGAAACAGCAGCTGTGATTTTAGCAATTCCTAACTGCTTGGCTTCACAACTCAGCCCTCTCTTCTTTTTCAAAGCAGTACCATCGTGTTTTGTCTTCTGAGTGTCCGCAGTGTTTCCACAAGTATGACTGGAATTGAGCCAGCTCTGCTTATATTCAAAATATCTGACACCAGAGTAATTAAAGTTAAATACTTGTGAATGCTATCATATTAAACACTATTACACTGAATTGCTTATTTTACTATCCAATATATAGCCACACTATACATCAGATTGTAATCATTATTCTCACTGAAGATACCTACAAAAAGACAAAAAAGCTTAAAACAAATCAGGATATATTCCCACAATCTGA